AATAAATCAAAATTTTAAAATTATGTCTTATTTTATTTTTTTAGCAAAAAAATTTTTTTTAGATGTCTTAAGATTATGACGCGCACTGTATAATAAAATATAAAGTATGTCTCGAAAAAAAGTTATATTCTTCAGAGCTTAATGCAAGCCAAGTTATGGTAAAAAATGAATTTTTTCGATTGTAATATTTTTTATTTTTACGTTTTAATAGAGTATTTGGTTCTTTTTTGTTTTACATTAAAGATGAATTAAAAAAAATTATTTTTTAAAAAAAAAAATATTTTTATTTTTATACTTAGTATGATTTTCTTTTGTCTTAAAATATGCTAAAGATCTTTTGCAAAAGCTTAAAGCCAATTTTTGACATAATTCTAATGGAATTTTGCTACAATTACGTAAAAAATAATAAAATATATAAAAGATTATTGTTTAAAAATAAAAATCAGCAACAGAAGAAAAGCTACCATTCACGTACTATTATTTCCTTCAATTCATTTAAATTTTTAAGGCATATTGTGATAATTTTGCTTTATTATGGCCCCAAGTATTTCAATTGGATTTAATTTGGAGATTGTGCAGGCCAAGAAGGAATTTTAATTGTTTTGATCTAAAATACAGCTTTGTAAGCTTTGAAATATGCTTAGGATCATTGTCTTGTTAAAAAATGTAATTTTCCAGACCTATTAATCTAGCCGAATCAGGTAAATTATTAGATAAAATATTTACATAGTATTCAGCATTCATTTTACTTTCAATAAAAACAAGTTTTCTACACAAAAGTATTAAAAACATCTTCATACCATATTAACCTTCCACTATGCTTTACAGTAGCAAACAAATTAAGTTTTTTAAGGCCTGCATCGGCTTCACGCCACACAGAATCTTTACCATCAGAGCAAAAAAGGTTAAACTTGTTCTCTTCTGTAAAAAATTATCTTCTTTATCTTATTATGTGATAATAGTAAAAATTTTTTACTTTTTTCAAACCAATTCAAATTGTTTTTTGTGAAAGAAATGGTTTTTTTGATTGGAGTAACAATTCTAATTTTATAATCATGCAGTGCATTTTTTAAAATTGAGTAATAAACCCTTTAATTGGTCTTCGCTTGCAGTTCAATAGTTAGTTTTCTTAATGATGTTTTAGGTTTTTTTTTAGTAATGTTAAGTAAAGCTGTAACATAATTAGCTTGTAACATCTTTTTCCTGCCAAACTTTTTAAATCGTTCAACTGTGTCTTTTCCTTTCATATTTTTACAATTTTAAATATTGTATTTTGTTGAAATTTTACATTTCCTTACGATTTTTACCTGGGGCATTTTTTGATTGGAAAGCAAAATAATTTAAATTTTGTCTTTTAAAGTCGACTGCATGCAGGGATAATTTTATAAAATATAAAAAAATGTATTCTTGGCGGGAAAAAACGTAAGTTTTGAGCTAAAAATTATAATATTCCTTTTTTTAAAACAGAAAAATAATTAAAAGTCTAGTTTCGAAAAAGCTGTAAAATTTTAAAAAGTTGTAAAGCAAAATTGTCTCTATGAATCCAAACAATAGTTATTTGCCAAAAAAATTGTTACCTGTAAAAAAAATTAGGCAAAAAAAATATTTTTTTTTTTGAAATAAACTGTAGCATGTAAAATAATATCTACTATGATGTCGATAAGATACAATGTGATATTTTTTTAACATTATAATGATCATTTTTACGATTAAAAATGGCATATTTTTCTTTTACTTTAATAAATATTATTAAGATTTTAATTTAAATGTGTTAATGGTTACAAAAATTTACATTATTTCAATTTGCTAAACACAGCATTTGCGTGTTAAATATCACATAATAAGAAATTATAAATATATAAGTAAACTTGAAATCGTTTTTGATTTAAAATTTTAAGTTTTTTTAATAGTAAGTTCTTAAGATGATTTTTAACACCTGCTGTTCTAGTTTTAATAAAAATTATTTAATAAATAATACTAAAAAACAAAATATAGTTTTAAAAATTTATAATGCACTACGTATATGGTAAATGGAGCATAAATAGATATTCAAGTAAATGATTTCACTTTTATAGTGCATTAAAAAAAAATTTTTCATTAAAAAATTTTTAAATTGCATAATTAAGTTAATTTTGATCAATACAAGCTCTATAATTGTCATGATATGCCTAGATTTTGCCAACATTATAGATTTTTTGTTAACATGTTCTTTTTTACATTCAGAAGACTTTTTTTTAAAAGTTGCTTTATTACGAATTCTTTTAATCGTCTTTTCTTTTAAAAACAATCTTATATTTTTTACATGAAACTTACGTTTTAAACATATGAACCTTCAAGGTTTCATTGATGTATTGTTTGTGTCAATGTTTTAGGCATTGCCCTCAACAGTCTTTTTTTACAAACATTTATATTTAAAACAAAGAGTTTAATTTAATATTATAACGTGCGTAAACGACATTAATAAGTGAAGTTAAACTTCATAAGTTCCTTTGTTTGGCTTTAATTTATTTATATAAAAAAAAATCACGACTTGTACTCACACAGCTAAGTATGAATGCAAACATTAGATATAAGAAAAACTAACAAAATTCTTTTTAAGATTTTTTTACCTAAAAGCAACATCATAATTTTTTGCATAATTTTTTTAAGAAAATAATTGTTTAAAAAAATTCTTCTTGTAAAGAAACAAATATTTTTACTTTAAAT